GCTGGGCACTGAGCTGGGCAGGAATGGGCACTGAGCTGGGCACTGAGCTGGGCAGGAATATGGGCACTGAGCTGGGCACTGAGCTGGGCACTGAGCTGGGCACTGTGCTGGGCACTGAGCTGGGCAGGACAGGACAGCACACAGGGACAAGGCTGACAGAAAGCCTGGGAGCTTCCCCATCCCATGAAAAATCTGGTGGTGGCTGCCATGAGGCAACTCTGGCCTGAAAGAGAGCAAATCCCACTGAAATATCAGGAAAGCTGCCTGCTCCACTCTGCACCCCAGCACACTTTAAACAACCTGCAAGGAGCCACTTCAGGAGGGAAGAGCCAAATTGGAAAGGAGAGATTTGTCTCATCCCTGTGCTCCATCACCCTGAAAGGCTCAGAGAGCCCCAAGTGGCCCTTCCTTGTGCCACTGAACAGAAAGGAGAGGGGAGAGCAGAACAACTCACAGATCAAAAATGTTAATTGAGCTCTTAAAGCAACAAAGGGATCCCCGAGGAGCAGGCACCAGCTCGGGGCTGGCACAGGAGCCAGGAGGGCTCAGGAGCTCCCTGGGCTGGGCACACTCAGGGCTCTGATCAGGAGCCCTGCACAGCCCAGGCAGCCCAGGAGGAGCCACATCTGGGAGTGCTTTGCTCCTGGCACACCTCGAGCCGTGCTGAATGGAGAAATCCGTGTTTTCTGTGGCATGGAGAGGCTGCCCAGTGGAACACAGCGAGCTCAGTGTGAGCCAGGCCCTCGGAGCTGCTCCAGGGATCACCACAGCTGAAGGCATTTCTCAGAACTCATCTGGAGTGGAGCACTGATCTCACACATGACTCTCCAGGTTTGGAAAATGCTTTAGAATCCATATTGGAAAACATTTATCACTTTTCACTGTTCCAGGGGCTCCAGCCCCAGTGTCCAGCCTGGCCTTGGGCACTGCAGGGGCAGCCACAGCTGTGCCAGGGCCTGCCCACCCTGCCAGCCAGGAATTCCCTCCCAACATCTCATCCCACCCTGAAAAGGCATTTCAGACTCTGCTATAACACAATGCATAAGCTTAGTGTCAAATAAAGCAGCCAATGTTGATGCTGCCTTTGCACCAACACACTTCAAATTAAAAAGTGCTGTACTTAATGAAGCAACACACCCCCAGAATTTGGCTTCCTGGACTACTGGCAGAGGAATAGCACCAACAAATACAATAATTTGTCCAATAATTCACAATGTCTGAGGTCCTGTTAGCAGTGAGAAGAACTTCTGAGATTGACAAATTGCAATTACGACAGAAGCTGTGGAAAGTAAGGACTAGGTCACGCAGGGAATGTTCCAGGCAGATTTTTTGGAATTGCAAAAGCTAAAGAAAACCTTCTTTATGGCAGTCCTTGTCCTCATTCCCAGGAAACTGAATGGGAATTGCACTAGAGACAAACTCGGGCTCTTAGTAGTAAACAAAACCAGAACAAGCTCTGGTTCTGTGATAATAAAAGAACCAAACAGAAAATCAATCCAGCAGCAAAGAGCAGAGCCAGGAGAGGACCTGGAGTGCCAGAGCAGCTCAGGGGGTCCCAGCTGTCCCTCTGTCCTCAGCCCCAGGGCTGCTCCCTGCTCCAGGCCCTGCTAGACCCCAGACCCTGCAGGGATGAGGATCTCAGGACCCCAGACCCTGCAGAGACCAGGATCCCAAATCCTGCAGAGACCAGGATCTCAGGATCCCCTCCCAGCTCTGCTGCTCTGGGAACTCTCAGGTGTTGGAGCCTTGATTGATTGCTGAGAATTTTGGGTTTTCTGTGCTGCCAGGCACTGACCCCCAGGAGGCAATAGAGAAAGATCCCAAAATGGAAAGATGGAACTGGGATTGTGGGTGTGGGGTTTGAATAGAAATGTGTGACATCACAGGGTGGAAAACTCAGAGTTTAAGGGTTTAGAATACAGTAATAGATATAAAGCAAGGTGGAGGTTGTAGGGCAGAGGCTGCGCCTTCATCTCCAACTTCTCCTCCATGGGTTTGGGTGGTTTTGTGTAATTGGATAAAAAAGTCCTCATTGCAGGCCATGGGTGGTTGGTTTTGTGTTAAAAGTAAAACTAATTGAGGTGTCATTTCTTAATTGGGCAGTTTATCCTTAAAAGGCCTTGCAGAGAGAGAGATGGGTCTCCATTTTTAGTTTGTTGGAGTGAAGTGCTGCAGGGCTTAGGGTTTGTGAGACTGTGACATGGATAAGAGCTAACAAACATCTGAGTCCAAGCAAGTGAAGCCATGCTGAGCAGCAAAGCTGCTCTAAAGCCCCTGCATGAGCCAGGCCTGGCTTCAACAGCAGCTCAGACCCTTAGCACAGCTCCTCTGTGTGTGAGCAAACCTGGCCCCAAAGCTGCTCTCAGATGTGGGGGTGTCCCACTCCTCTGAGCCCCAGCAGCGTTCCCACTCCTTCACCACATCACCCTGGGAGTTCAGAAGGTGTTCCTAACAAAACTGTGGTTTTAAATCAGCCACAGGCTTGGTAATTTAATCCTATTCCACCAGACATCTCCATGCCCACAATATTCTGAGAGAGTGTTGTAAAATCATGTTTGACAACTCATTTCATCCAAATGAGCTGGATGGAGATGCTCAGGAATAAATAGATATTTGTTTTCCAATCCTACAGTGGCCTTTTCCAAGCAGCTGATGAATAGCTTGGATAGAGCATTCACTGAAATCCTGGAGACAGAAAAGAGCTTTGGGCTGCAATCCCTTCAGCTGATGGGGGTAACTAATGGCACATGTGCAGACAAATAACTCCATAAAATCCAGGGCTGGATTTTTAGTGTTTAGCTGGGTGAATTTCCAAGGGCTCCCAACACCCCAGAGCAGCAGCTGGGCTGAGCCTGGAGCTCCAGACTGAGAGCAGGACCAAACCCAGGTGCCCAACATGGGTCAGTTCAGGGGTGGGAACAGCCTGGGCACCTTCCAAAGCACAGCACAAAACAGCCCTGGACACAGAAAGGGCTCCAAAGTGCAGGGCCAAGTCCTCCTGCTCTTTTAACCAGTGAGGGAAGTGCCCCCTTACCTTCTGGTGAGGGAAGGTGTTCTGGATCATGGCAGTCTCAAAGCTGTGCGTGCCCTTGAGCTGGGTCTTCTCCCACAGCGCCCTGAGGACTTGCACAGAGCTGCTGTGCATGGACAGGGGTTCTGCAAACAGGCTCTGCAGGAAACATTGGGAATGACTTCAGGTGTTTGTCCCCTCAGGTGTTACCAAAGAGCATCTTGTGCTCACACTGGGACAGCCAGGAGAACCAGGGGTGAGCCCTGGGGAGCTCTGATGGATCCATGGGCTCACAACTGGATAAACACCAAACATCTCAGCTCCTCTGGGCTGTCTGAGGCTTATTGCACACAACAACACCAAACATCTCAGTTCCTCCTATTGCACATCCCACAGCTCTGAGGATTCCCCTTCAATGGCCACTGCACAGTGAGTGACCCAACAGCCCCAGCTCTGTGGGGCATCCTGTCACAGACATCTTTTATGGAAAATCCTTTCCTTAGGATTTTTCCTCCTGAGAAGCTGAGAGGCCTCAGGAACAAAATGTAAACAATGGTTATCTGCTGCTGGGGAATGCAACAGGTGCATCTGTGATTGGTCTCATGTGGTTGTTTCTAATTAATGGCCAATCACAGTCAGCTGGCTGAGATAGAGAGTCCAAGCCACAAACCTTTGTTATCATTCCTTCTTTTTCTATTCTTAGCCAGCCTTCTGATGAGAACCTTTTCTTCTATTCTTTTAGTATAGTTTTAATGTAATATATATAATAAAATAATAAATCAAGACTTCTGAAACATGGAGTCAACATTCTCATCTCTTCCCTCATCCTGGGACCCCTGTGACCACGGTCACAGCATCCCTGCTCACACAGCAGCCCTGTGGCTGGGAATGTTTGTGCCTCTCCTCCGTCTCCTCCGTGATCTTTTAATTAAAGAATGCATTTACACGCAGGAGCCAAGATAGGAGCGCACAACAAATCTGATTTTCCATACTGCAAATATTTGATTTCACAATATGGGCAACGTCCTTCAAATGTGGGATTCCTGGATGGACTTTCTGTCTCCTCTGTCTGAGCAAACCCCTCCAGCCTAATCCTGCTGTCCTGCACTAATAATTTCCCAATTTCTATCCAAGGGTTTTGAAACACAGTAGAACTCTCCATCATTATTTTTTTAAATTAACTGACCAGTGTTCTTGAAAAGTAATTACTTCTAGGAAAACACCCAGGGCAGAGCAATTCAGGCTGTTCCATCCACAGCTTCCCTCGCTGTGTTAATTTTGGATAAGTCCTGGGGGCTCCCAAGGCCGCCTTAGATGACATGAACTGCAGTGAAATGCTCTGTGTGTGTTAAGAACCTGAACATTGTATTTCAGCTCAAACCCCACCTGTTCCATCTGCAAGTGTGAATGTAGGGCTCTCTCTTCGTTTCACACTATTTGTAACCTGTTAGGAAATTCCACACTTGTGCAAGTACTGGGCTGTTCTTGGAATCAATATTAACCACAGGAGAATCACCTGAAGGGTGGTGGAACAGCACTGGGCTGATTTACAAATCCTGCTCAGTCCAAACCTCTGCAGCAAAACCCCAGTGGGTTCTGCCCCTCCAACCTCCTGGAGTTCTGCCTCAATAAGAACAATATGCTTTGGTCCCACTTTTTTAAGAACAATGTGCTTTGGTGCCACTTTTTTATCCCCCGACTTTGTAATCTCCCCAGCCAGTTTGAATTTGGGGTATTTAACAGAAATGTAAAAACTTATAAAGCACAAAATAACTTCAGTGGAAGGAGTTCCTGAGGGACCACAAGTGGCTGTGAGTTAGGGGTGCATTTAATGAGTTTAACCATGAAACATTCTTGTCCAAGGAGCAGCCCAGAGGGGCCCTGGCTGGTGTGGGCTCACCTGCTGGAACAGGAACATGATGTGGATCCAGAGGGGAGGCTGCTGGCTCACCAGGGTGAAGCTGGATTTGCTGTACAGGCAGTAGTGGCCCTTCAGGGGACAGCTGAAGAACAGCTTTGCCACACAGCTTTGAACAGAATCTGCAAAGGCAAACATGGCATGTAAAAACCAGCTATAAAGCAGAGAGGGAACTCAGTGCCCATGCTGGGGTGCCAGAGCCGTGGGGGAAAACATTCCACTGGGCAGGTTCCAGCATCCCACTTTGGGATTTTCTGCTTTTTCAGTGACAATCTGTGACACTGACACCTTGTCCTGGCAATGCATCCTTTTGTAGCTCTGGTAAACTCATTCCTCACATGTCACACCTTTACATGAAACACTGAACTTATTACATTTCCCTCCTATGCATTCACATCTTGATTAGACAGAAAATGTTAGAACCAAGCATGTCAAGCCTGCCTGAGGTGGACACACAGGCTGCCTCTGCTCTTGTCAGGAGATCCAGAACCCATCCCTGCTTACTCACGTTTTCTCCAAAGTCACAACTCATTTTTCCAGCCAAGCATTTCTTTGAGCATTTTCTTCCTTCCCCTTCTCCCCACGGTGACTCACCAGGACAGCAAGGGACTGACTCACACCCCTGCATGGCTGGGCCATGAGCAACACCCCCAGCAGGGAAAAAGGGGGGATAAATCCACTTCTCTGGGAGCATGGCATAAAAGGCACTCACTTGGATTACTGGCTGTGGGAAAACTTGAGTTTCATCACCCAAACCTGCCAGATCTCACCCAAACCTGTTCACTGCACAGAGGAGCTGGGAAGCCAGAGGGGTTAATGAGGCCATCCTGGACCCTGGGGCACATGGAAGCACACAAGGACATGTCCAAGGAGGCTGCTGACAGATGCTGCTCCAAACTGCAGACCCCTCACAGATGCTGCAATAACCCTCACTCATGCACTCAAGCAGAAATCGGGCTTGGCCTGGGGCCAGCTGTGTGAAAAGTTGATGTTTCATGATGGGAAATGACTCTTAGCTAAAAATGACCCCAAAGCACGTGAGGAGGAAGGTGAGGAGGAGCAGGCAGCTTGTCCCTCCTCCTGCCTGGAACACAGGCATTGCTCTCCGAGTTCCAAACACAGGGGCCGGCAGAAACCTGGGGGCAGAAGGGGCAGGGCTGCAGCCCCTGGAGGGAAAAGGCACCAGGGAGGATCTGCTTGGGGGGCTGGGAAGGGCATTCCTGAATGCTGACAAAAATGGCCAAGGATCTGTGGAGAGGCTCCCAAGGAAGTGCTTAGCAGGGTTTGTGGTGACGCTGGGGAGCACACGGGGGCTTGGGGACACGTGCCAAAACCAACGGCAGCTCCAAGCACAGCCCTGGCTGCCTGAGCACGGGGTTCCTGGAAAACTGCAGCCCTCGTTTGTCACCACCACGGCAGAAAGCTCCTTCCCAGAGCATCTGCCAGGCTCTGGAGTGAGCTGGGAGCTCCTCGGGGCTGCCCTGCTCTGTTTGAAGTGCTGGGTTTGGCACTGGCTGAGCAGCAGCCCACGCTTGCTACGTGCAGCTTTCAGCAGCTCCTGAGGAGCCACCAGGATCCACCTCTGGCAGGGAATATCAGTTATTCCATGTCAGCAGAACCATGGGATCATGGAGTGCCTTGGGTTGGAAGGGACTTTAAACACCATCTCATTTCACCCACTGTCCCAGATGCTCCAAACCCCAGTGTCCAGCCTGGCCTTGGGCACTGCCAGGGATCCAGGGGCAGCCACAGCTGCTCTGGGAATCCCATCCCATCCCATCCATCCCAGCCAGGAATTCCTCCCCAGCATCCCATCCATCCCTGCCCTCTGGCACTTTAAGACCATCTTCTCCTGTCCTTTCATTATCTGCCAGGTTCTCCTCCTTCCCCAGCCTTGGCAGGAGAGTCCAGGCGCCACAAGAACAGGATTTTGAAACACAAGAACATGTGAAGAGCACCACGAGACACCAACCCACCCACAGAGTCACCAAGTGCCCCAGAAGGCTGATCAGGACCCCAAGGAAAGGTTCCTCAGCCAAGGAACATTTCTCAGCCCAGCTCTTGGCACTTCTCTGCCTTCCAGCAAGGGAATAAGCAACAGCTCCTTCCTCCTGCAGGAAACAAGGGAATATATGTTGCAATTTTAAAGTTCACAACTGAGTGGTTGTGCCTGGGGAAAAGGAACAAAGCATAACCAGAAGAATGTCAGCAGAGCTGTTAATTGTTACCTATTCCAGCTTCACATGCTGGGCTGAACCAGGAGGGTGCAGAGTCACTGGCTCTGGGAACAATTAATGTGTTATTTGATTTACATTGGTGATCCTTTACTATTAAATGAAATCTGTTAATAGGAGTAAAAGTATGCTCATAAATTTCCTGAATAGAATCAAACCCATGCATAAACATGGAACCAATAAGAAATGGATGCAACTTTTTAAATTTTGGGTTTAAGCTTTTTCAGCTTCCTCAGTTTCCTTTGCCTGACCTCTTCAGTTTGGGTTACAAAAAGTATGCAAACAATAAACATGTTTATAGGAGGAGAGGGCAAGTTTTAAAGCAAGCAGCTTCAAGAAGTGCAGCTTTATATTGTTTTTAACACACTAACTTTGTGTGCAGGGCATAACTCAGGCCAAGGTGTGAGTTAGACCAAGAGAAGGCAGGGCTGTAATGGGGGTGGGCACCAACAACGAGGCACTCAGCACAGACTCCACATCCAAGGGGCAAATCCAGGGCTCAGAAGCCATGAAATCATCCCAGAATCACAGACTGGGTTGGAAAGGCCTCAAAGTTCCTGTTCTACCCCCACTTCCTTCCCCTAGACCAGGCTGCTCCAAGCCCCGTCCAAGCCCTGTGGTTGATGGCACCACCACAGGAGTGTCCCAGCTGCCAGGCGAAGGCCACCTGGAGAGCAGCCTGCTCCCAGGGCAGCTGTGAGGGCCCAGGATGTGCCACACGTGGGTGAGGGCAGCAGGGGACAGCTGGTCACACCCCCAACACTGCTGGGGCACCGGGAATCTCTCCTTGGTCTGACAAGGTGGATCACCAGGAGCATGATGGCCACCCTGAGCGGTGGCACTGCCATCCTGAGTGGTGGCACTGCCATCATGAGCTGTGGCCATCCCCAGTGGTGACACTGCCACCCTGAGCAGTGGCACTGCCATCCTGAGTGGTGGCACTGCCATCGTGAGCTGTGGCCATCCCCAGTGGTGACACTGCCACCTTGAGCGGTGGCACTGCCATCCCCAGTAGTGGCACTGCCAACCTGAGTGGTGCCATTGCCATCCTGAGTGGCGGCACTGCCATCCCCAGAGGTGACACTGCCATCCTCAGTGGTGGCACTGCCATCTCCAGGAGTGGCAGCGCCATCCTGAGCAGTGACAATGCCATCCCCAGTGGTGGCACTACCATCGTAAGCTGTGGCAATACCATCCTTAGTGGTGGCACCGCCATCCCCAGCAGCAATGACACTGCCACCCCCAATGGTGGCACAATGGCCATCCTGAGATGTGGCACCACCATTCCCAGCAGTGGCACTGCCATCCTGAGCTGTGGCACTGCCATCCCCAGCGCTGGCACTGCCCTGCCCCTGGCTCCCTGGCCCCTGGAGCATTGGGATGCCAGCCCTGGTGGAATGCCAGCCCTGCCGAAGGAATGCCAGCCCTGCCAATGGAATGCCAGCCCAGTGGATGGAATGCCAGCCTTGCCAATGGAATGCCAGCCCTGCCGAAGGAATGCCAGCCCTGCCAATGGAATGCCAGCCGATGTTCACAGAGCAGCTCCCTGGGCCTGCTCTCCCGAGCCTGCCCAGCCCTGTGATCCCTGTGCAGCACCCGAGGCCCATCTGTTCCCAATCAGGGGCTGCTGATGGAATGCTGGAATCCAGCAGGGCTGAGCAGGGCTGAGCACTGCAGGGGAGCAATGAGCTTTTCCATGCACGCCGCCATCTGGTCCCCATTAGCCCTGGGTACCACATAAAACATAATAACAACCACACTGGGGGCCAGCACGCTGCAACCTGCTCCCCCTGCTGCCTCCCCCTCTGCCAGGCTCCCAGCAATGCTCATGGATGGGTTTCCTCCTGCATGGCACCAGAGCCAGCAGGGACTGCTGCAAAATGGTTCCCATGAAATGGTTTCATGTTTTTCCTTAGGTGTCGCTGAATTGGCCTCAGTGAGTGAGGGGAAATGATTCCCTGGTGTCCCAGGGTCTGTCCTTCCAGAAGGAGCCTGGAGATGGCAAATCCTCCAGCATCCTTGACACACAGATGTCATCAGATGCTCTCCTTGCAGCAGCTCACTCCACATTCAAAGCTCTGGGCATTAACAGAGGCCTTTTAACCCAAATTACCTAAAATTGGAGCAGAACTAGAGCAGAACACCAGGGCCTGTCCCTGCCATGCCCAAACCCAGCAGCTGGGCAGGTCCTGCCTGGGAATGGCTGCACCCATTCCATATCCACATATATTCCATATCCATATCCCTGACACACAGGGCCATGGCTCTGAGGCACTGTCCTGGCAGGGGTGGGAAACAAGGAGAGCAGAAATCCTGATCAGAAATCCTGATCCACCAGGAGAATACAGCATCCCAACCCATCCCAGAAAATATGGGTGAGGAAAACGCTGCTGAACTCCATGAAAATGAAGAGCCTGACAAATACGGCTTGTTGTTTTTCTCTTCTTTTGAGGTAAAGATCCCCAGGATGAAGAGGCTTTAAGTGATGAACATGACATAAAAAAATGCCTCAAATTGCATCAGGTATGTCAGAGGTGTGGGTCAGGGCACAAGACTTCAAGCTAAGCAGGAACTGAACCAATAAATGGATTTTTGTGGGTTTGGGTTCCTTCTTTCTGCCCCAGCTCAAATCCCCTCTGTGACTGCAGTGTTATTCTAAAAATTCCCTTATGCACGTGAGCCTGGTGTTGCAGCCTGTCTGCTCTGTGAAACACCCCCAGCTCAGCCCTTTTCTTTAGGATAAAACCCTCTGGCCCACAGCCCAGTGCTAGCACTGCTCCTGCTGCAGGATCATCACCCAATTCTCAGCTCTGCCCTGCCCAAGGCACAGCCAGCCAAAAACAGTAAACATTCAACAGCACGGCTGACATGGCAATTTTTCAAGGTCTGTACGAGGCATCTTCAAACTGTCACAGACAGTTCATGGATCCACCCTGACACTTCTTAACCTGCAGCCCTTCCCAGCTGTAAAATCTGACACTCCAGTTAATATTGCATCCATTTGGACACGGAATATAAATTGAATGGGCTTAGAAGTCAACGAGGAGCCTGCAAATCACACCCTGTAAAGCAAAAATACTCCGTGAGGGGTAAGACCTACACAGCAAACATCTGAGTCAAGAGCAAGAAAGCCAATTTGCAAATCACAGACAATTTAGCAGAGCAGAGGTGCCTATTTTGTGTGTTTTGAGCTCGCCTCTGACAACTTCATGGCATGTTCTGCAGCACCTGGATGGGGGCAGGCACTCAGTTAATCCTCTCAGTCACTGGAGATATTGCAAATCTCTTTTCCAGGCTGCAGAGGCCATTTATCCCCACATGGAGGTCTCTGATTTTCCTCACACTCCTGCAGCCACTCTCATCCTTTATCCCCCAGACTGAGGCTCTAATTAATGCAGGCAGTCCCAGAATGGTTTGGGCTGGAAGGGACCTTGGAGCCCCTCCAGCTCCAGGCAGGGACACCTTCCCTGTGTCACTACTGCCCAGATCTGAGGGTCCTGCAGGAAAACTGGGATATTCCCAAGGTCCTGTCCTCACCAGCACACCCCAATCTGGAGGAGCCCCAGTCTGGGGTTAGGAATGAGGAATTCTGCCCATTCCCAGACAGGCTGCCCCAGATCAGACACCACCAGCAAGAGATGCCAGCAGGGGTGGAACTCTGGCCAGGAGAGCAGAATTTGGCCCATCACCCTTGGACATTCTTCTAAATTCTCCTTTATTAACACCCTGCTGACCCCCAGAGCTGCCACTCGAAATCCCAGGAAAGGCCTGAGCAGGGAAAGGAAAGGTTGGGAAATGTGCACTATTGCAACACATTCTGCCACTCTTTCCTCCAAATACTCTGTGTCATGAGGGGCTGCTCTGGGGTTCTTATCTTTTCATATCTTCCGTGTCTCACACATTAAATCTCCAGTTCAGACTCCCCCACAGCCAACATAAAATCAGCCAACTATATTTATTAATGTTTTCTAATCTTGTTTTTCTCTGCTAAATACGTTGGTGAAATGTAAAACACGCCTTTGAGTGGGCCCTGTTGGAGTTTGGGGATCTCTGAAGCGCAATAACTGCAGGTTTTTGGAGAGCTCTATGCAATATCTGAAATATTAACAGAGCTGTCCCCTGTGGAATGAGCAGGGCTGCATTTCTTCAACAGATTTAGAGCGAGCCCCATAAATCTGTGCTTTGCACATGTGTCCCTGCTCAAGGAATTTCCCTAGGAATGCTAGCTGAGGATTTTCAGGAAATTACAATAGTTTGAATGAATTTAGAAATAGTCACATGCCTAGGATGTATCATAAGAGGTATTGCAGAAAGGAAACTGAGCAATACATTAAAAAAATACTCAATATATGGGATTTCATTAATGTGGGGTCAGAGCACTCAGCACTTCAAAAACCACATTGTTCACTCTCATGTTTTCACTGCAATTTTATGCAACACAAGTTTTGTCCTTAATTCTACCAGATAACTATTTCAACTACTAACTCTGGAATTTAAGGTATTTAGGAAATTCTTCAGAAGCATAAGCTTTTAAAATATATAGAGAGAAAGAATTATATCCCTTATATATAGATAAAGAATTATATCCCTTTTATGAGTGGAAACTGCTTTTCCACTTCTTGACCACTGAGAAAGGAAAGAAATAAATCTTTTATCAACTTCAGTTGATGCTTGTTGGAGCTGAGGTGCCGCTGTATAAGAAGGTGATGTTTGAAGTGACTGGAAATTTAATTTATTAAAGTAAATTAAATTCATTGAGGCAGCTGCTCTGGGATCGACGTGGCCCATGGAAAGGTTGGGCTGTGAACAGCTCATGGCCACCACTGAGGGGTTGGATGCACCCAGATTCACCTCAAGGGGAATAAAGGAGGAGGTTCCCAGCCCTGCCCAGCCCAACCCATCCACTTCAAAGAGGAGCAGATCACAGACCCACCAGGGATGAAAGCAGCAAACATTAAAGCAGCCCAGGCACTGGTGAGATGGGATCCAATCCAACACAGCCCATCGGGGATCTCACTCCAATGTACCCTCAGGAAGTTTTGTGGTTGGAATGAGCTGTCCTGAGGGTCCTGACCTTTGTTGTCCTAATCCAGCTGAATGAATAACTTGGTAATGAGGAAGGACCCCTAAATCTGCCCCAAACCAACCCAGCCTGGAGCTGGGAATGTCCCTTCCTGCCCTGCCTTGTGCCCAGAGGCTCTGCCACCCTCAGGGCCCACTCCCCATCACATCCAGAAGGAAATGTCTGGGAGAGGCAGGGGATGTGTCCCTGGAGGAAATGAATGCTGGAAGGGTTCAGAAGATTCCATTTGGGAAATGCTGTTTTCTGCAGCTGCTGTTCCTCCCTGCCTGTGCTGGGTCTCTGCTCCCCTTTGGGCCCTGAGGGGTCTGGGTGGGTACAGAAGCCCCTGGGGGGCTCAATCTGCTTACCTTCGATCACACACTGCTCAGGGATGGGAATCCTCCTCCCCATCTCCATCACAAACTCCTTGACCTTGCCCAGGTTCTCCTTCAGGTGCAGGTACAGCTTGTCCTGGTGCTGCTCAGGGCCCGTGGCTGCCTCTGCCCTTCCCTGCAGGGCCTTTTCTGGGCTCAGCCCTGGCACACTGCCTGCCTGGGGCTGCTCAGCACTGTGCGGTGAGAGCAGGCAGCTGCCCAGGGGCCCTGCCTCGGCCTGCACCCCACAGGGCTCCTGCTGCTGCTCCTGGCTGAGGCAGAGCTCGGAGAAGGAGATGCCAGCAGGGATGTCCCCACTGTCCTCGTCTGTCCCTCCCTCTGAGCTCAGCCCCTTCACCCTGAGCGTGTGCAGGGCCAGGCTCTTGGACCTGCAGGGAGGAAAGGAAAAAGGGTTTGGAACAGAGGCAGGGCACAAAAATCCCCCAGAACGTGCCCTGTGCAGCTCCCTCAGAGAGCCCAGTGTGGGCTCACCCAGCCAGGGGCAAGAACCTGCTGGAAATCTGCATTTCCCCAGCCAGGCTCAAGCCCCAGCTTTAATAAACAAATGAAATGGAGCAATATCCAAATGATATCCACAAATCCCAATATCTGCCACGGGGGAGCAAGGCTGCCCCTGTGCAAGGATCCTGGAGCCCTGGCGTGGTGTGGCTGCTGTACCAATCTTGCCATAAAATGGCAAGCAGCAATTTCCCTGAACCAGGGCCCTGCCTCCAGCCCTTCCTGCCCTGTAATCCTGCTGGGGATGGCAAAAGTGGCTGAAAGGGCAGATTCTGGGGCAGGAAGAGCAGAGCTCTGTGTGGAGCTGTGGGGCAGGGACAGCCTGAGGAGCCTGTGGGTCACATTGCTGTCACTGATAAATGCTGTTAGTGATAACACCCAAAAAGCTCTCAGGACCTTCCTGTCTGTGACATCTCAATGCAGGGCTTTTTTCCCTGCACTTTTTGCTGCTTTAGGGCCCAGAAAAGATTAAATGAGTTCCACACAGCAGCTGTGGCTGCCCCTGGATCCCTGGCAGTGCCCAAGGCCACGCTGAACATTGGGGACAGTGGGAGGTGTCACTGCCATGGCAGGGGTGGCACTGGATGGGTTTTGAGGTCCCTTCCAACCCAAACCATTCTGGGATTTAGAAAGATTTCATCCAGCCCTTAAGTTTATGGATGTAAAAATCAGTTAAATTTAGGGTTATGCTGCCTGTGGGTATTCCATGAGCAGACCAAACCCTCCGTGTTTGGATAAAGTTTTATGACAGAACTGATCTCCCTGAAGCCCTCACACATTTTCCAGAGCCATACCTGTTAAACCTCATATCCTTCCTTTCTTCTTTAGAGACCTGGCCCAGGCTGTATCTCCTCACTGAGCCGGGGGTGCTGTTGTCCACATTGATTTTCTCTTCAAAAGCCTGGATTTTAACTTGCAACTTTTCATCTTCTTCACTGCCGTTCACGACAGATTTTAAATCATCCAGTGGTACAGGACATTCTGCCTCAGGGTCCTTTTCCATCCTGGGGAGGCAGAAAGCAGAGGTTTAACTCTGGCACACTCTGCTCATTGTGCTGATGCTGTGTCTGTGCCTGGGACTTGTGGTTTGGATCTGGTAAAGTAATTATGTTTAAACAGAGATTCCCTGAGGTTATTTTCAGGAACATCTTCTAGATCAACATCTCTGATGGGTCAGAAGCATTGAACATCTCTGACAACCCTGGGTTGGAAACTGCCAAGCACCAGCAAATCACATCTCTGTCCCTGAGAGTCAAAAGTTTTTCATCTGAACTCAAGCCATTCTCTTGAAATTGCTAAACACTGACTTATTGCATTATTTTCACAAGGCAAAAGTCAAGTTATTTGCAGGCTTTATAGAATTCTGTGGTTTTAAAGCTTTGACCAAAGTACATGCAGTTCTTACTGAATTACTGCCCTCTGAGAAATAAAAATACCTTTTAAAACTCAGGAAAAGTTATGAGCAACGTGACTCCAGCTCAGCAAAGAGAAAATGAAGAGTTAAAATGAACTTGTAGGACTGCAGGGCAAGTAGTTCTGTTTTGGATTTCTTATGTTTGTCTTAAAATCACAGGATCAGAGAACCAGGGAATGGTGTGGGGTGGAAGGGACCTCAAAGCCCATCCATGGGCAGGGACACCTTCCTCTGTCCCAGGCTGCTCCAAACCCTGTCCAACCTGGCCTTGGGCACTGCCAGGGGTGGGCAGCCACAATATGGAACATTTTAATGCAAAACTCAAAGGTAACCTTCAAATAAATTGAAGGGAAGCTGTTGATCTCACAGGCCAAAAAGAAATCTGCTGGAAAAGACACTGGTGGTAAAAATGTGCTGGGTTCCCTCAAACAGCTTTGGAAATGGCTTTTTCTGGGTTCCTGCATCACTCAGAGCCTGCACAGAGACTCAGCTCCTCTGAATATTTGGCCATTTGCTGGAAATCTGAATTTTGAGTGTCCTTACTCTGCCTTGGAGCAGCAGCAGGACTGGATTTCCCAGGGACCAACGCAAGAGCATCACTGCTCCTTCCCCTGTCCCTGCCCTGCTGGGGTGATGGGAACATTCCCATCTCACTCCTGCAGCACCAAAACCATGGAGCAGCACAGAGCAAACAGGAATCTCTTGGAGAATCAGGGGGATTGGACACTATTTACTTTTTAAACTCCACCCACAGCTCTAAAACAAGTTTGTTATGCTTCTGACTATTTCTCTGTTTGATTTTCTTTTTTTCTCCCCGACGAGCAAACATCTGAATAGCTAAATCTGTAAAGCATGGATATATAAAACCACAAGTGAGGGGTTTAACACAGCCCTTCCAGAGCAGCAGAGCCTCACAAGTCACACTCACAGTGGGGGAGCCCATTAAAAACTCCCCAAACTGCACATTACCAATTGTAAAAAGCCAGGTTTTTACAAAACAGCCAGAAATGTGGCATCACAAAATGCACTTTTCACTTGTTTTGATAAAGGCAGCTCAGGGTATTTCTCAGGGGAGCTGGCAAGTTTTGTCTTGCTTTGTTTTTAATTCAAGCAACATCTCGTAATATATTAACACTGAGGAGCACTTGAAAAATATTCTTCTGTAATAAAGACCCTTGATGTGACCTCTCCTAACAAATCTTTCTGGGGATGTAGGACAAGATTTAATTTATTGGAAAGCAGTCACTCCAGCACAGCTCCCAACACTGCTGCCATTGTGGGGGCTGAGCTCTGAGGAAAACTCCTTTTCCCTGTGTAAATATGGGCAAAGCCTCAGGCACAGAGAGGGGATTGATGGACTGATGGGCCCTGGGAGTGACAGAGCCCAACCAGGGAGCCCTGGTGGTGTTTGGGATTAAAAATGGTGTTTCAAACAGCGCCTCTTTGTCCAGCCTCCTCCTGCCGGGCTCCCATGGCTTTGTGAAGGGAGTGCAAGGAAACACTTCTCCTAAAGAACCACAAAATCATTATGGATGCAAAAGAAACGTGGATGAATCTTGTTCTCTGTGTTTAGAACACAAAAAAGTCACTCCTAGGGTGTGGAGGGTGGGTTCCTCAAGCCACCATCCCACTGTTGCCCCTGCTGGTGCCAGGATTCCCAAGTGGGAAGCAGAGGGTCCCGAGTGCCCAGGGGCTCTCTTGTGCACCAGCCCTGTGCCCACATCAGCTCCTTGGGAAGCCAAAAGCACAAAGCCCCACAAAGCCCTCACTGAGGGCTCCATCCCACCCCCTGCACCCCTGGCAGCCCTTCCAGCTCCTGTCAGACCAACCATTGTCTGCAGCCTTGGCAAGAGGCACTGCTGAGGCTGTTGGGGCAGGATCAGCTCACACCACAGCTCTTTGCAGGAGGAGGAGGAGGAGGGTGCACGAGCTCATGGAGAAACCATCATCCAAAAACAGTGCCAGGCTGCTGATGGCTTCATGCTTTAAATGCTCTGGGCAAAGGCACCTCAGTGCCCAGGTGATGCATTAGCACCAAGGGAATTTCTCCACACCAGCAGTGGGGTGCTCACTGTGGGGAAAAGAGCATCCCAAAGGGAGATTGATGAAAATACATCTGGGCTTGTGGCCCAGGCTCCACCTCTGTGCCCATGGAGGCCACAAGGATGGGTCAGGTGTTCGTGGTTTGTTAAGGTAGAGAAAATCACCTCCTCAAACTGGATGGACAAGAGAGTTTGAAGAAGGCAAGTGGTGGAGGAAAGATCATGGAACTGTCAGCAGAATCCCAGACTGGGTTGGGGGGACCTTAAAGATCATTCCATTCCACCCCCTTCCACTGGGCCCTTCCCACAGTCCCAGGTGCTCACAGCCCTGTTCCAACCTGGCCTTGGGCACTGCCAGGGATGCAGGGGCAGCCACAGCTGCTCTGGGCACCTGTGCCAGGGCCTCAGCACCCTCTGAGCAAAGAACTGCCTCATATTTAACCTAAATCCTGTGCCAGTGTCAGACAATTCCAAGCAGCCACAGCACCTGAGGAGCAGCACTGGTGCAGCCCCTTAAGCTCAGCTCTTACCCAGAACAAGGACTTTGATGATTTCTTCCCCTTTAATTGACTACACTGCCCCTCTAGGTTGGATAAGTCCATTAAAACCCTGCATATGTTCTTTAAAAGCCCCTCTGGGACTGAATAACTTGCAATTTTGGGACAGTAAGGAGCAGCAGGGCATGGCCTGGTTTTAATTATGCTCCTCAGTCCCTGCATGTAAAATTCCCTGTGTCAAACAACGCCAGGCCAGCCATGGCTCTGAAAAAATCAGCTTTTCCTTATGTAAACACAGGAGTTTTGGAAGGAATTGCTGTAATCCAGGCCCACAGTTTAAAATCCTGCTTTCCCTTCACAGCACAAGCACCCTGGATTGCTGCTCTTTAGCTCAGTGACTGCAGCAGCTCCAGAGCTGGGAGGGCACTTCCACCTTCACATCTGGACTGGTCCCACTGCCCAAGCACGAGTCAAAACCAGCTCTGCTTAAATCAGCAGGGAGCTCTCGTTCAGCCTTGTCTGATTGAGCTGATACTCTGCCCGAAATGTAAAACCAAATAGCTAAAAACTGTGAAAAACCAGCATTTTGCTGTGATCCCTCACAGCCGTGTTGAGATACTGAGGGCACAGAGGGTTGGGGAGGGAATGAAATTTAAAATAAATAAAGAAATAAATAAAATCAAGGAGCAGAGAGAGAAAATCAACTGTAACCACACTCACACAGACAATGAAGCTTCTGCTCTTCAGCCAGTCCTTAACAAAGAGAACTTTAGCTAGAAACAGCCAGATTTTGATGAAAACCTTGTTTTTAACTGGGTTTTCTTAGCAGCTCTAGAGGTAAATGTTAAGCCCAGAATATAATAAGGAACAGGAATATCACAGTGTTTTAACAAACCAAGTAATTTTCAACCATAAATGGAGGGACCACAATGGGTTGGGAATGCCAAGGCCTGCTTTCTGCTGAGGTTCTGCCACCAGGTGAGGCTTGGACATTTCTCACAGCCCTGTAGTCAGATGAGGGGCTCTGTCTGGGTTCCTCTCCTTTCTCATTTCTACCTCTCTCCAGGACACCAATTATTTGTTTCTCCACTGACCTCAGTGTTTTGTCTCCACAGCTCCCAGTCTGGCTCCAGGGCTGGCCTTCACTGTCAGGAGTTTTCTGACACCTGTGTTCCATTTTCCCAAAGAATCGCTACTCCTGTGTTCCCCCCTGACCTACTGCAGCATACACAACTCGCATTCTCAGTCTCTCACTAATGAGAAGTGACTGCCAGCCTGTATTTAAATAACATTCCTATCCTCACTGTGACAAACCCCACAACACTTCAACCTCAGGATGCGCAGTCAGAAACAGCTGAGCAAGCAGAACATCTCACTGTGGATGCTTCAGAAATTCTTTTCAGACTTTTTTTTGGGCAAATCTTCATCAGGGAGCTAGGCCAGCCATTGTTCTCCTCACCCTCAGTGGGCATTTTCTAGAATAAACTCACTGATAATTGTGATCTTGACTTCACTGATTTATTTTTAACCGAGGCTTTTTTAGCTTGCTTGAATTTACTTATCTGGGGCATGGCTTTCTTCATGGCAATGGGAGCATATTTAACGGGAATTTTGGTGCCTCACAGTGATGTCTAGAGAGGTTACTTGGAACAGAGGCTGGGCAGTGATAAAGGAATAAAGTAGGGA